TATTTAATGTGCTTTTCTACTTCAACTCTGAATTCCATCTATTTTTCATTAATATTCGTATAATTGTTGATTTCAGTGAAGGAAAAAATTCAACGGAGCCTTGGCATAAAGTTTATGGATTCCATTCCGGCAATGAGCTGTATATGATAAAAGCAGAAGATTCCAAATTTTTCGGAAGCTTCATCGGGAAATCTTTCACTTACGCCTCGTATTGCGCTCACGACAGGTGCATCCAAATACTATACTGTATTACTGTTAGAAGACATAAACAGCACTCACTCATCTTCAGATATGGAGTGGGCTTGATAGCAGTGAAGTCTGACGAGCCAAATGCCAAGTGTCGCCTGAATCCTGGAGTTACGCACATCATCAAGGCTACGGACGTTTTGTACTATATGGCCCTAACAAACGAAGAGTCTCTGTATAACTTCCAGAAAGACCTTAAAGATCAAAAGAAAAAGGCTAACCTAGCTTCTACTATCGCCAATGTTGGTAGGTCTTTTTTGTGAAAGAATTATCTTTGTAGCAGCAGTTAATCACTACCACTGAGGGTCTTATCATTTCTCACGTTAGGGATCACCAGCAAGGGGGGGGGGCGTATTTGCTCCGGAGAAGAAAAAACTTTTTTGCTGATATTCTCGCGGTCCTTTTTTAGGTGCGCAAATCAAAGTAAGAAAGAGGGTATGCAGGATGGGGGAGGAGTATCGCAGGTTGGGGAGGAGTACCCCTTCAGAGGGGATAATTTGAAAGGGAGGCTTTTTTCCCAACGGTACGACATACGCTGCTGGCAGGTACTTCCAAGCAAAGAAAAGCGGTCACTTATTGTTTTCGCTGGGAGGCTCTACTTATAGGGCTTGAGGTCGATTAAGTAGCATATGCTCGAATAGGATCTTGTGTCTACCTAGGCAATGGTTTGAATGGCCTTTAATATATCCATTTTGATGATTTTGAGGATCTGCTTCGCGCTCATCTCGTGGGCGGTCTCGTTTTGCAGATTGGGGGATCGCGCCATTGGAATAGCTGGGAATACCGATGACTCCACCCATACAGTCGGCATTCCTTGTTTTTCGTTTTTCGCGTCGTTTTTAAGCTGAGGAGTCACTGGAAAAAAGAGGTGTCACTGGGGCAACTTGCTTAGCGCCTTTACCTTACAACTTTTCGCCACAAAACTGACTTAGCGCACAAACCACTACACCTCACGCAATCTTTCGAAAATTTCATAGGTAATCGCGGGCGTTCCTCCAACGGAACCGCTGCGGAGGTGACAAGGGCGTTAGAACATCGCAGACATCGCATCCGACTCAACGTGGCAATGCTGCAGCGCGTCAGGTCGTTTATGTCGCGCCTGAGACGTGATGAGCCACACTCACCACAGTCCAGTGACTTTCGCAGTATACCGCCTCTTCACTAGGGATGGTCGTCAGGTCGAAGTGGCCGTTTGTAATGAGACCTAGACCACTAGACGTATTTTCAGACGCTGATTTCAAATCTGCATTCCAAATTTGCAAAGCGATTCTGTGAACGGAGTTATGACGGGTCGTTTGGCTGAAGCGGCGCGGGGTCGGCGGCAGTTGCCAGCCAGCGGGCATGAGTAACCGGGATGCAGCGCCTCATCCAACGGCGGCGGTGGCACAGAGGTAAGAGTCTAGGTTCATGGGCACACGATGAAGGTTCGGATCCCGAGAGTGTGGTTCGTTTTGCATTCCGTGGAGGACGTCCTACGACTATGATAAGCACTTCAAGCGTTGATGTGACCACATTTTTCAACTGGGGCTGGGTGATCAGTGTGATCTACATCTTATGGGAATAGATCAAATTGTTCCGGATCAATGTCTAGAGGCTGCGAAATGACGTGGCAAGCGTGGGAACTTACCAGTAGGGTGAAAGCAGTACTGGTTCGCAGCTATAAGGATTATGTTCTGTCCAAAGCTGGGATCATTTTTTTGCATAGCATTATTATCGTGTATGATTTGAAGAATGTAATTCCCATAACTATAAGATGTATATCACACTGATCGCCCAGCCCCAGTTGAAAAATGTGGTCACATCAACGCTTGAAGTGCTTATCATAGTCGTAGGACGTCCTCCACGGAATGCAAAACAAACCACACTCTCGGGATCCGAACCTTCATCGTGTGCCCATGAACCTAGACTCTTACCCTCTGTGCCACGCCGCGTTGGATGAGGCGCTGCTCCCGGTTACCTCATGCCCGCGGCTGGCAACTGCCGCCGACCCCGCGCCGCTTCAGCCAAACGACCCGTCATAACTCCGTTCACAGAATCGCTTTGCAAATTTGGAATGCAGATTTGAAATCAGCGTCTGAAAATACGTCTAGTGGTCTAGGTCTCATAAAGGCCACTTCGACTGACGACCATCCCTAAGTCAGTAGCGTGTACTGGCTGATAACCGGAAAAAGTCACTGTGCCGATGTTGTATGCGACAGTCAGTAGGATGTCGTATCCTTTAAAGATTTTCGTAGCCACTATTCCTTCCAGAAAAAAAACAAATGGAGGAAGTTTATAAGTGAATTCCATGATAGCACGGATTTCTTTCTTGGCTTATGTTTACACGATATTGAACAGCTGCGTTCTAGTACATACTTGGACATGATGCAGTGATCACCTTAAGAAATGAGATCTGTGCTTTGCAGGTATTGAAACGCCGTATTTTGAAAGTGGACTGAAAAGATTGAATTACGTCAGGAAGCGTTTCTTGAGAAGAGGAAAGGTCTGAGATCCAACTTATTTCTTTAAATATATGAACTTATAGAGGTGTATGTTCACAAAATCGTTTCTTTCAATACCAAGCAGAGAGTTCAGGCGAGAGATCAAGAGGCACTGATCAGCGGCTCCCTTAAAATGCCAAGTCGGTCACATCCATCCATGGAGAGACTCAGTGAGGTGATTATTACTGACTCTTTTTAAGGAGGCGCCGGAAGGATCTGCAGCTTCCCCAGCATTGCTGAGTACCTCAGAGAGGGAATGTGCATAGTTGAAGAGTTGCACTCCTGTTTGGAGCTGTTCTAGTTGCGAAGTTACCATCGTAGGCGATGGTAAATTGTGTTTTTTTTTCTTTCTGCTTCCGCAAACGAGCGGCGGTAATCATTCCCCCATCATCGTCATTGCGTATTTGCAGTCCTGAGCTTCAGGTCTCAAAAGGGTTAGCGTGTAGGTACCGCGGACGCGTCACTAACATCGTCGCCATCGGTCAAGGCTGGCACACGAGGCCCTCCCACGGCCCCTCACTGGTGTTTTTCTGCCCAAATCGCTCAGTAGCCATCACTATTGGTAGACGAAGGGCAGCCGAGCGCGATTGTGCAAGACCACTGCGGAAAGAGTCAAAGTGAGCCAGCTACGACAGCAGTAAACATAGAAGAAATGACGCGTGAATCTAGGCGATCTATCTCAATCTGAGTGGCCTTAACGATAGCTCAATCCCTGGTTTGATTACCACGCAAGGTCAAGTCTTGCCCATAATTGAGCATTAATGATAATCAATAAAACAACTAACTAATAACAAATAACAATAACAATTCAGGCGAAGCCAGGTACCTCAAGCGAATCAGATAACGAAGAGCACTGTGAAAAATGCAAAGGCCCTTGTATAAAGAAGAAGTGAGTTGGAACAAGTTCTCAACGATTATCTCAAATGTTAACTTTTCTTCTCAGACTGCAACGCAGTTATCCACAAGTTCGCACGTACATCGGAACTTCAAATACTGTGTGCCATATGTTGAAAGAAAAACGACCGATATGTTGCTTGCAGCTGAATGAGGTAATCCTACAGTCTTTACTCGTAAATGTTCGGGTTCTATGGCGAAATTCTCGACTGAAGCTCGGTTTCTGAAGTGAATTTGGTATTGCCATCCTGTTGTTCGCTTTTTCCCAGGGCAGCCTTTGCCTATATAGGCACATTCCGCACTCGTTTTATAAGCGAAACCAAGTCTAATAATTGAGTCTCCCTTATAAGTGTTCTGAGGTGGTGTAGTGGCAAGTGGCGTGTTTACAACACCTTTCGCAACTCAAAAATGCGAGAGAATAGCGGCGCCCGCTCGTGAAGAGTCGGCCACCCCGCCCACCTGGCGACCACTACGCCCAACTTCATTTCTAATGGTTGCCTGATGGTGCGGTTGTTCTGCTACTAACTCTCTCCACTTCGAATGGTGAGAGTGAGGTGATAAGGGAAAACAGCTGATACCAACAAGTGAGAACTCGTGCGGCCGCGCCTTCTCTTCGCCTTAAGCACGTACAACCTCAGCTCGGCGTGGGGTCCTATATAGGGCATATCCGATGATTTTTTTGCATTTTTCTTCACTAATGAACTACTTGCTACCTTGTTGTCACTGTCTGAGCCCCATAACTCATCAAATTGAACGCGGGCGCTGCCTTTAAGGAGCTGTAAGGTCGAAAATCACCCCGAGCGCAACGCTCTAGCCAAACTGAGGCTTTGACCCAAGCTCTGAAGAAAGGGATCGTGAATATTTATAATTTAATAATTAGCATGGTTTGTAGTGAGACTCACCTCGTAACTAATGTAGAAAACGATTATGGTTTCAGTTAAACTAACAACAGCGACAAATGTTTGGACCAGCCATAAATATGTGTTCCTTCCCACCCAGAATAGATACTCACTGAAAACGTCAGGATAAGCCTCAGTGTAGATCAAACTATGAAAGAACTTACTATTTTATCTCGCCTTCTTTATAGTGATGTTCAGTTGGGAGTAACTTTGAGTCATGCACAACTCGTACGCAGTACAACACACACGAAAGGGTTTTGATGAATACGTTGAATAGTCGAACTCGGTAGCCTGAAGAACGAGCACGATCGGACAGAACTTCGATTTTCACGATTTTTTTCGCTTTTCAGAATATTTATTGCTCTGAACGATGGAAAGGAGGAACCAAGGCTTGGTCATCCTTTGTAGGGGAGCGCCATACTATACCAAACCGTACACACAACATACAACCCATGGAACGAGATTGACCCAGTCAGGTGCAGACCTGCTGTGGGATGGGCGTGTTGTTGACCGCTCCGTCTTGTGGAAGAAGGGATTCTGCACGTAGGGTAATCGCGGACCGTGTCTTTAAGGCCTAATGAGATGACAGCTCAGAGTTCTTTGGTATTTTGACTCTTTTCGTCTACTCTCTTCCTGCGTTCAACTGGGCTGGTCACAGTGGTGAGGGGCAGTTCGGCGACGGGAGGGGAGGGAGAGGGGGGGGGAGAGGGGGTGGGCATTTTGCACTTTTGCTACTTCCCATCGACGTGTCGACCCATCTAGAGAGTTGACAGGTTCTACCATGGTGGCTCGACGAGCTTGCTCCAGGTTCATCGGTGAGACATGTAAACCGGAACCAGTGAAGCAGCAAAAGTTCAAAAAGCCCCCTGCCGCCAAATTGCGTCCAGTAGTGATATTAAATGAGCCATGAGACTGGAACGTTCGAACGGGGCGGGGGGCGCCGGGCCGGGCTCTTGAAATTTCTTGTGCCAACATTAAAATTTCTTTGCAAAGGGAGCAATTTTACGTTTCCACTCCTAGATGGCTCTCGAGATGCATATCTTTAGTCACCTATCATATGTAAGCTTCTATTCCTAAACTACGGAAGGTCGCCAGGTCGAAGTGGCTATTTGTAATGAATCTGTAGGTGGCGGAACGTAGTTTTTGGACGCCTGATTCCAAAATCTGCCTTCGAAATTTGCAAATAACGATTCTCTGAATGGCTAGTTATGGAGCTTTTTCCTCGCGTATTACCTACGCAACAGCTGTCAGGGGGTTCGTGGTCCCTTGCTGAGCTTACATTTTTTTTGCTTTCTTGCGCAAAAAGTGGCAAAAAGTGGTTGGGCGTCAATTACTACTATAGCGCTCCCCACTTGCCTGAACAACAGTTTGCGTTCGCTTTCTGGAGTGCTCAAAGCCTTATGATCTGGGAGAATGTTCGGATGTACAGGTGCCCTTGACGCGCAGTCACGGGGCGTTTTTCGCGGCTGAGCGTGCCGTAATCGTATTCATCGGGGCGAACTACGCCTAGGTAGAGGTTTCTAGCCAAATCTGGCATTTTGACCTGACTTCGAAAAGTGAAGCATCCATGGGTTAGTTCAGTTGATGTTCACACCTATTCAGCTGCAGATACATTCTCCTGCACAAAGCCTCGTCTTGCCACTTCTTACGCATTCATTTTGTTACTGCTCCAGTTTTCCTGACATCTAAAAGCAATTCCGTCCAAAGACAAGCAATCGACAAGAGACTGGCCCTGGAACTATTGGTGACCATCATTCGATCAACTGCTACCGCACTTTTCAAAGTTAGGTCAAAACCTCACATCTGGCTAGAAACCTGTCCCCAAGGGTAGTTTTGCTCCCTGAACACGAATATGACACCCATTTGGCGTTTGAGTGTTTTCTAGACTCAAAAGAGACATTCCTCACGAAATGCAAAAAAGTTCCCTCCTATAAATCCGAACCTTCCATGTCACGCCCACGAAGCAAGACCGTTACCACTGCCGCCGTTCGGTGTAGAGGGGCTTCGCGGCTATTCATGCAATTGGCTGGCAACCGCGCTCGACTCCGTGTCCTTCATTTTAATTCTAATAAACCTTCATAATTCCTTTCAGAGAATCGTTCTGCAAATTTCGAAGGCAGATTTGAAATCAGCGTTCAAAAACACGTCCCGTGATATACGTCTCTTTACAAATGGCCACTTCGACCTGGCGACCATCCCTAGTAAGTAATACGTGACTGCAGGAACTGAGGTATTTCAAATGGCTAAGTTCCAATTGAAAAGTTCATCCAAGTGAATAAATATAAAAGGATAAATATACCTAAGAAGAGGTAGAGCCGCTGCTTGTAAAGTGGCATGCAAGTATTAGTTGAAATGAAAGAAATCATCCCTTACTCGACAATTACCTACGTAACGCTCTGTTGTCATGGTAACATTCCCTCTAAATGAAGTGTTTTTTCAACACTTAATAAAGAATTTAATGCGAAATCGTGCTATTAGAAAGTTCGGTCCAAAACTTCAATATTAATGATACGTGGGTAACTCTGTTCTAGCGCAACCATTGCTATTGGCATAGGGATTTCTACGGCTTCTCTCATTGTCAGGGTCATCCTCCCGTCAAACAGGAACACAGAAGAAGCAAAACTTAAGAGTTAATTGGTCTTATGTGTACGCATACAGGCTTTTTCGCTGCAGATTCTGGGGTATCAGAGTGTTGGGTTTCGAGCGCTACCAGCCCAGAGCCCATCAAATGTCAAAGCTGGCAATCGACAAAGTTGGTGGAAAACGGCCGGGATGGGCTAGCGCCGCGCAAAATGCATCTCCCTCACACGCCAAGCATCCGCAGCTAGCAGGACTCTAATCAGCTATTTTGTGTAAAAAGCAATCTGTTTGCAAATACGTTCTAAATGTAGTGAACTGACGTGTGAAAGTAAAAGGTAAATTGCAGTCGTTCTTTCAGTTGATTGTTAGGAAAATGACATAATACTCGATCCCGTCCGTGGTCCGACTTTTGCCCACAAGCATTCTTGTGGCAATTTTTGGATTGCGC